TTGCTGTGTAACACCACTGGTGTAGCTAATCGTACAATACAGAAGAGCAATGGCTCTTCTCGACAAGAAGAAGACGAAGAAGTCACTTGTTGGTCACTCGATGCATTTCAAGAATGAATTCTTTCTCCCTGTTTCTCTGTTGGTTTTGTCACACAGATACTGTAAGTACCAACTGCCACATCATAATTAACGATCGGTACACAACCTGAACAGCCCCACCTACTGGTCGTTGATATCCTTGGCTTTTCAAACTGCTCCTTGGACATAAGCCCCATGACTTCTCTGTGTTTCTCGAATGCTGGCCTTGGTAGCGGCTTCGTGAAAGCATCTGCCACATTGTCAACACCTGCAACTCTCAATACAGTAATCTCGTTCATGCTGACACGTTCACGAATGAAGTGATGGCGCACATCAATGTGCTTTGTGCGGCTGTGAAACTCTGGATTGTTTGCTAGCTTCTTTGCATTTTCGTTATCCACAAAGATGTCCGTTGGTGCTTTTTGTTGTACGTACAGCTCTTTCAGCATTTGACGAAGATGCACTACTTCTTGCACAAGTAGACTCAAAGCCATATACTCGGCTTCAGTTGTATGTAGCGCCACGGTTTTCTCCGTTTGACTGCTCCATGAGATCACACTTCCACAGAATTTCGTTAAGTATCCTGCAATAGATTTCCTGTCATCAACTCGATTAGCAAAATCAGCATCAACAAATGCTTGTAGATGTTGATCCAGTTCCTGGTCAATCCATTCTTTTCCACCGAGACAAATACCCCATTCAGCAGTCTCTCGAAGATACCGTAGTCCTCGCTTAGCTGCTCGCCAATGAAGTATTCCTGGGTTCTCGAGAAATTGACTGCATTCTCTGACCAAATACGCTAAGTCAGGACGTGAGCCCATCATTAGGTACATCAGACTTCCTACTACTGATCGATACGGCTTAGATTTCATCAGAGTTCTTTCATCTGCATCTGCAGCACACATGCTCTTTGTCAACTTCAAGTCTGGGGTACATGGCATCTTACACCCATTGCAGTGTTCCATTCCAAATCTCTCCAACACTGTCATAGCATACTTGTGCTGACTAATGAAAATCTTTCGTTCACTGCGATTGCGTGTAACTTCCCAGCCCAGGATATAGTGCAATTCTCCCAGATCCTTCATCTCAAATCGCTTACGAAACATTTCTTTCATCTCGTTGATAAGTTTAATGTTAGGAGCAAATAGGATCAGATCATCCACGTACAACGGAATGAATACTAGTTGCCCATCAATGACCTTGACAGCAACAGATGTCTCCGACTTCAGCAACGAAAAGCCTTGCTCCTCCAGAAAGGATCTCAGTAATTGAAACCACACACGTGGTGCTTGCTTCAAGCCATACAAGCTTTTTAGCAAGCAACACACCCAGTTCTCTTTACCAGGCACCTTAAATCCCTCTGGTTGCTCCATAAATACCTTCATATCGATCTTGCCATTCAGAAAGGCAGTTGTAACGTTCATTTGATGAACCTCATAGTCCCACACAGCTGCAAGGGTTAACAGAACCCGCAGTGTCTCCAATCGCACCACCGGTGAGTACACTTCAAGATAGTCGACTCCATAGACTTACATGAAGCCTTTGATCACTAATCTCGCTTTGAATCTATCAATCTCGTCGTTTGCAAGGTATTTCACGCGGAACACCCACCGATTTCGCAACACGTTCATGTTGCTGCCTCGTGGAACCAACTTCCACGTACAGTTTTTCATTAGAGTATCATACTCTTTCTGAGCCGCACTTTTCCACTGCATGGAAAACTGACCCTGCATTGCCTCTTCAAACGTTTCAGGCTCTTGTATGGCACTCATGGTGAGACAACAATAGTCTTGCCACCATGCACAAGCTTGTTCCTTTGCCATCTCTCTCTGCATTTCTTCTCGAGCCCTTTTCCATGTTGGAGACTCATTTTCACAGTCTTCATTGGTATGCAGATATGCCACATAGATGGAATCACCATACCATGGAGGCGGCTTGCTCACACGACCACTCCGTGTTACTGGGTAGTCCTTTGTGTGAACACCTTCTGGAGCCACATACTCTCGCAACGCTCTGCATCTAGAGGTTGTTATACTCTCTGTGCTAGAGTCGTCACTTGGTCGCAGCATCTCAGAGTTCGCGGTCTCGATCGCACGATTCTCCAGAGAAGAAGGCCTCTCCATGGTCGGCAAGCCACTACGTGCCGTTTCTTGCCCTGACTCGGCAGTTTGAGACTCAGTAACAGCCTTTGCGTCGGCCACGCTGCCGTTTTCGCTTGCTTTTGTGCTTGCCTCGGCAAGTTGAGTCGGTAGCACCGTCACTTCGGACGTGTGCAAGCTGTTGCTCAGTGCCGCGCACTGCAACATGTTCAGTGCGTCGCACTGAAGGCTCATCGTCGAACCTTACTCGCT